AAACCTACAGGATTCTGTTCCTAGTACACTTTTACATAAATTTGTTACAAACTCTGGTTATTAATTAATTATGTGATGGATTTGCCAGGATTTTATCCGGATTTACTAATATAATTTCGGGCGTATACGAGTTAATTAAAAAGAGCGCTACATATAAGTGTTAAGATAATCGGTTTTCTTTATCCAAAATAAATCCAAACGGGTTGTGTGATTAAATCAAATACTTATATATATCTAGAGGGTGTCCCTAAACAACCCGTACCGCTTCTGTGGGATTGTTCCTTGCATATAGACAAACAGATGTTGCAATAATATAACCATGGGTCATCCATGTCTAGTATTCCGTGACAAAACAATGCTATGAGAATTTGACACTTCATGGATATTGATTAACACATCAATGGATATTGATATGATTGAAGGATATTTGTTGTTATGGATATTTATTCTAATCCAAAAACTAATTTGAACTCTGTTTATGTTGATACAGGCTTCGCTTTACAGGCTTGAGAGTTGACAAAAACTTATCAAAATCATTGTACCTATCCATTAAACCAAAATATATCAGTATTTCCACATCAATATGTCTACATCATATATCTGGTTAGTGTAGGATATAAAATGAACTAAAATTTGATAGTACTATTTTTATTTATCAACCATTCTTGGTAAAGTTCAAAAGTTTATTTAATTTTTTTAGGTAGTCCATCCAAACGTCTCAAAATTATGTTAAGAAATAAAACTTACTATCGCTTATTGCTGTTTAGTATATTATTTATAAAGCGATGATCTACATAGTAAATTACTTAGTAAACTTATCAATTCAACGACATAGTGAAAACAATAGAGGACTGTTTATTGTTTATTTGTTGTCCTGCTTGTATCAGTAATATTCGAGGATCCTTGATGAACCAGTTCGCTGTTCAGCTAATTAGAACATACGTCAAATTTCCTTCCGCGGAGTAATATCTTCATCATCGAAGTTATTCGTGCGAGATATTAACTGTTATGTAATTCAAGGATTATCAATAATATCCTACAGGCCTACATGAAGGTTACACTTTTAGTTGAATATGAATATTCATACATTTGTGAAGAATATTTATCCAATGAAACGTTAATTTGAGATTTACAGTTTAGTTAAGTGTAAGTTTTAAGTTAGGTAGCTGACCTGTGCTTTACACAGTAGTTAACAGAAAGGTTTAAAACTAAAATGAGCAATAATTGAAATCACGCTAGTTTTGTCGTCATTTTTTCAACAGTTTTATGACGTACACATGGCATTTCCAGACATGTTTTAAAGTCTTATACCGGAGTTCACTATAAAATGATTAAGACTAAACATTTTGCTGTAAACTCTAGTGTAAAATTGGCTATCAAGGACACATGAGATGACAAAATGATGTGTAAAGACTGATCAGAAGGAACCGGTTTCGTTAGATTTTGACTAAGCTCGGAAAGAATTTGGAATACATCACTGATGTGGAAACTATGGATTCTAGATGAATAATAATTTTAACACAAGTATGATTGTTATATAAGACTGTTTAGATCCCGGAAATGATAGCGTAATATATGACATAGCATGACATAAGAAGTCAAATTAAGATAATGGACTCGTGTGTTAAGTTTACCTTCGCTCACACTGTTTACATTGATAAAGTTCTGCCGAGTGCCTCTGTGTACACTACATTATTTCAACTCTGTCTTGGATTTATCATTTTATATTTCGCGTGACATTTGTACATTTTACGGGACTTAAAGATTACAGATACTTTTGTACTTCGGCGAGGGATAAATTGCTGGTCATAATAATTTATTTATGTTGTAAAATATTCATTCGTCGATTATTTGAGCACGTATATCATAACATTATTATTGATTGTGACTGTAAAATACACATGCGCAACAAACCTTCGTCCTAGAGATTTACAAACTAATATACTCTATATATATAAAAAAAAACAAAAAAACGTTTACAATAGTATAAAATTAAAATTGGAACTTTATCTAATACAACTTACATTCCGCTCAAGGAGTAATTAGATTTGCTACTAAACTGACACAATTCGGTTTGTTATTAAAGTTGTTGATGTTATATGGGAATAAAGAAAATTCCTCTCTCTTACCCAAGAGCAAATAATTGACCAAGAATACATTTTGAATTTCTCGTACGATATCTCAATACTAGTCTCTAATAGGCTATAATCAATTTGTGCTAATACTTGGGTTTCACAGAGGAGGTGGTGCGATCTATTGGATGACTGGAGAAATACGTTCTCACAGCGAAACCTGCCAGAGAAGGTGCTGCACTCTAGCCGAGAAGCAAGGTAATAATATCGATCAAAATATTGATATTTATTATTTCCTCTGTTAAAACAAGCGTTAGTGGTTAAGGACCTTTCAAAATTAAGTAAGGACGCAGTTAAGGTAGCAGTTTTGTATATTAGGAGATAATCAGTATACCATACATATAAGAAATTATTCTTATAGGACATAAGTTTTGTAAATCGTCGAGAAGAAATAAAAATCATAACAAATGAAAATCCTTGATAAAATAAGCTGAAAAACTTTAAATATGACCAAGCTTCTAAGATTGCATTCTGTATAGTAGTCCAAACACAATTCATTTTAATTGAGTGTGCGATTTTACCAATTTTGAAAATAATAACAAACTTAAGAAGTTTGTCGTTTGCCATGCAATTATTTAAATATGATATTTAGATATGTTTCTTACTGAGGAACAATGCCCTAAAATATTGGTAGAGAGTTCTGGGACACCCTGTATAGCTAAAAAAAAAATACATTTTTCATTCTAGTGTAATGATGCTAAAATGACTTGTTTCCATAAGAAATATACATGACTTATTTGAATTTAAAAAACAATTTTTAATTTTTAACATAATACACGATTGATATACAGGGTGATCAACTCAAGGAGGCCACCATTGGGATATCGGAAACGGTAAGAAAACTTTAAATGGGGAACATTCCTTTACTTTTTGTGGCAGTTAAAAATATGATTTTATTGTTTCGAAATTCAGCCACCATTTTCCAAAATGGCGGCCAACTTTGAAATTTCTTATGGAACACCCTATATTTTACCATGTTTTCGGATAGAACAGGCAATTTAAAAACGTTTTTATTCCTGACATTTTTTCGATAAACCCACTTGTTTAGAAGTTACGGCCTATGGAAAAATTACTTCCGGTGTACATTTTACATCATGTAGCCTACTAAACAAGTAGGTTTATAGCGAAAATGCGAAAAGTAAATGCGGCAAATAAGTCTTAAAATTCCATCCACATTCCAAAAAGGCCAAAAATACACAGTTTCCCACTTTTCAAGTTTGCCGCCATTTTGGAAAATGGCCGCCATTTTTTAAATAATAGAATTAATAGTTTTAACGAATTTTTTGGTCTTTTTGGGACGTGGATGCAATTTTAAGACTTATTTGACTCATTTACTTTTCGCATTTTCGCTATAAACCTACTTGTTTAGGAGCTACATGATGTAAAATGTACACCGGAAGTCATTTTTCCAAAGGCTCTAACTCCTAAACGAGTGGGTTTATCGAAAAAATGTCAGGAATAAAAAGGTTTTTAAATTGCTTGTTCTATACGAAAACATGATAAAATATAGGGTGTTCCATAAGAAATTTCAAAGTTGGCCGCCATTTTGGAAAATGGCAACTGAATTTCGAAAAAATAAAATCATATTTTTAACTGCCACAAAAAATAAAGGAATGTCCCCCATTTAAAGTTTTCTCTAATTCTTACCGTTTCCGATACCCCATTGGTGGCCTCCTTGAGTTGATCACCCTGTATAGGTATATATATTTTGTATTTTAGTGCTCTAAAACCTATGTTCTATCCTGATTAATGTAAAACAACAACAGGCTAATCCGGCTAGTGGATTATCTGAACTTATTCGACAAAAACGTGGTAAAAATGAATTTATAAAAGAATTTCTGTATTCAGTTGAGAATATCTCAAAAGCTAAAGCATATACAGAGGAAATGAATACAACCTTTTTTTGTAGAGAATGCTATTACCTTTATTTTTATACTTTACAATTCTTCCGCGCGATGCACGGTTTTCAGTGTAGAAGTAAAAAAAAACTAAAAAAGGGGCCTTCCCCCCTCCCCCGCTGAAACAGCAGGGCTAGGTGCGAGGACTTTTAGTATTGTTATCTTCTAACTACCATTAACACATTTCCGCAAAAATTCACCCTCTCCATGTCCTCTACACCCCCCTTTTGAGCATTCATTGACTGGACTAATTTGGCAGTTCTTCTTATTTACATAGAATTTTTATTATTATTATTATTATTATTTTTTAATATCAGATCCAAAGATCTTATAACCATTTCTTGACAAAGTTTGAAAAAAGGAATAGTATTATTTTTATACATGAGAGAGAGCTGTCTAATTGTTTAAACGCATTTTCATGAAATGAAACATTGCTTAACAATTCATTTATGGATGCATTCCGACATCACGTAGGTTGACCCTTGAATAATAAAACAAAGGAGTTATAATAATTACACTAGTATCTGAAAAACAAATATTTATACGTCTAATAACACTTGTAGTAATATGTACACTATTACTGTTGACTCACAAGACACATTTGCCTATTGGGTCTGATGATGATTGGAGTGTCCAATCGAAATAGATCACCACTTACCATTTTTTATATGTATATAACGTCTTATGAGTCAACAGTAAGGGTAAGATATTATTAAAAGTGTTATTGGACGTATATCTTTTTTGCAGGTAATTTATTAACACGTACGATGCTGATCAAGAAGTTGTACACTAATATAGCTTCAGTATAGCAGTGTTATAACGTGTTTTGTCGCACATAAGGTTGAATTATTATAAGTTGCCAGTATATGGCAAAAAACTTGTAGTCAATTGTTAGCTGTAATTAAAATTATTTCAAACCTTTCATCAATCAGTGTTAAAACACTTTCATTATACTGTATATTTTTTTAACTTAAATATCTAGGACTCAATCAGTGATACATCTTAACATCTTTTATTCACTGAGTTCTAGTTTGTGCATGTAATGTGTCATGGGCGAGACGTACCAAAACACTTGTTTGCACACTCTTTTATTGTCATCTTCCAGCCTGTAAGTTTTGTGAAATACTCTTCCTGGAGACCCTTCTCTCACTGAGATTCCTCTCGATGGCCTCCAAGGCATGCCCCTCGGTCTCAGGTAGGTCCACGTAGAGGTAGACCAACCCCAGGAGACTGATGGTCCCGTAGAGGATGCACGTCCCGGACACGTTCACCCAGGAGACGACGTTGAAGTAGGTCTTGGTCACAACAAAGCTGAAGAAGTAGGACATTGCGGCACAGATCGCACTTCCCATACTTTTCGCCCTGAAATATTTACGCGGGATTTAAGTAACTTGAAGTTTCATAGTGCAAGTTGAGTTAAGATTCTTAATATTGAGGAGAAAATTGATCATAAAAGCATTTATTATATTTTGAGGGTATAAATAAATTGTAAATATGCAATTTAATGATTGACATTTGTTGTAAAAAGCGAGTTTAGACTTAAGCCTCTCAAGATATTGTCAACATATTGAGTTATCGAAAAATTACCTTTCTGACAAATTAGACCTGTACACAAAGGTATTTATTTATTTAGGTATTTTGTACACAAACATATTTATCTACTGTTATTGCAAAGTTACGAAAATAAAATCTCAACTATAATCGAATGGTTTATTCTGATTGCCTTTTAAATTAAATCAACAAATTACCTAAGAGGAAACAGTTCCGCAGTAAGTATCCACGGAACAGCTCCAATCCCAAGACTCGCGCTGAAGTAGGAGATGAAGAACAATATGACGGGGATCCAGGGGATGTTCGCCCCTGTCAGGAGATATGCTCCGATGCCATAGCAGCAACAGACACTCAGGCCAAGTGAAAGGAAGGTGATCCCTCGCTTACCTAGAGGCTTCATAGCCAGGCACATCCCCAAAGACCCTAGAAGCTGAAGAGCTCCACAAATTGCCTGCAAATAATAGTGATCTTGGTTAGGGAATTGGCAGTATGCGTTAAAAGTTGTTATTACATCCTTCCTCCCTAAACTAAAAGATACGAAGACAAAATACAATACTAACATAACTGTGACTTACCACAACTGTGAAGGGTCTGATGGACGAGTTGAGGTTCTCGAGGACCTCGACAAAGAACGGCCTCATGCCGTAGAGAGTGGCGCAGGAGGTGATGAAGAAGTAACTCAGGATGACTCGGAAAGCTATCAAAACCTCTGGTTCTAGCAACGACCTCCATCCAGGGTTAGGTTTTCTCTCAGGCTGTGAGTTACCTGGAAATTGTTGATTATCATTAACAAATCATTTTAGCTTAGCAGTTAATTGGAAACAATCAATCTGTATTAATCTTCTAGGTTACCTATAAGATATTAATGTTATTATCAGTTACTTCATTTACTCTAAAGGAATTGATGGAGTAACAGGAAAACAAGTTTTATACGTAAAACGCACAACATACAATAAAACAGATAGAAACTTGCTTGTGCATAAGGCATAAACGAAACTAGGTCCGAAAAAGGGCCAAAAAATTTTCTTCAGAGAACAGTAGGTTATGCCCTGTTCTCAAGAAGTACTAGTTCCTTAACCATGCGTCTCCAATTTCCTGTCACCAGCCATCATCATTATGTGTCTCTTGCCTAGACTTCTGACGGAGTTAGACAACTTGTCCTTGATATTGATACCACAGAGCTAAAACACTAATGAGTTCTTAAGAATGTCTAGACTGATAGTGACTTTCTTGTATCATGATCATAGATATAAGTTATAGGACAAGACTTTCAATATTTTCTTTATATTCTCTGAGGGTTGAGAGGACATTTGTTTGACCTTGATCGACAACATTTTGGCAATCCTTTTTCGTGCCCTATGGGAACAGACCTATAGAATAAAGAACCCTTAGATTCTGACACAAACAAAATTATTAAAAGTGGAATCATAAGATTTATGAAGTGTGCCTGTTACCTTGGTCGTTAACCACCAGGTTGTACTCAGTGTTCTGGAAGAACTTTGATTTCCCTTGGGTCTCTTGAACGTAGCAGACAAGGGTGTCTAGCTCTTCCTTGACCATCTCCGGAGACACCCATCCTCTCAGCCACTGGAAGGCTTTCTCTGCATCCTTCACACGACCTTTAGTCACCAGCCAGGCAGGTGAGTCTGGAAGCTGTAGATAATATAACACAAGTAAAAAATATATTTTTAACCAAACGAATGGATGGATACCAAGTAAGTCCTAATTAGTAAAGAAGAGAACATTATATACTTTAATATGGATATCTGATTTTAAAATATCTCTATTATTCTCTGTTTAATTTTGTTTTCTGGTCATAATTTAATGATTAGTTGTAATATATTCCAATAACCTGTCTTATTAACATTCATCTGAAACAGCTGTAAAATGTTATGTTTACATTTTTCTATCATAATAAATACCGGTATACAGTTTTGTTCTAACATTCAAATAATCACTTTTTATTACTGAAGTATGTTTTAGTGGCGACGAGGACGGGATTTTTAATGACTCATACACATTTCTACAGGATAAACATTGAAATCAACATACTATCATGACTGAAGACCTTTTAACAATTTTATCAACGTTTGTTCAACAACAGGCTATGCTTTTGAACAAGTTTAATGAAATCATAGTACAAACCCATGCACATAATCCAAAACCTTCAACACCCCAGAACGGAATCACATAATTCAATTTCGATTCATTTGATGAAAATCTTGAAGATTTCAATTCATATAGACAACGACTTGAAAATTACTTTCATTTGAAAAACATTACAGGAAACGAAGATGAAGTACAACAAATCAAAGCAAGAATATTGATTAATTGTATTGGACCAAAACACTATCAGCTACTAGGTAGTCTTGTATCTCCAGACCTACCATCAAACAAAAGCTACGACGAATTGATTAAAATAGCTGAAAAACATTTATGTCCAAAACCCAATGTTTTTGTGCAACAACATAATTTTCTATCACGTGTTCAATGTCCGACAGAGTCCATATCTGAGTTTGTAGCTGCACTAAGAAGACTTACATTCACATGCAATTTCAACTGCCCTTCTTGTGAATCTTCAGTGGTCGATTTGATTTTACGTGCACAATTCATTCGAGGATTACGAGACGAAGCAATCAGTGAAAAGATTCTTCAGCATCCAGAATTGACTTTTGAAGGTGCGTATGAACAGGCTCTGACTCTTGAAGCATCAAAAAAGGGTTGCAAATCATTTCATGAAACTAATTCGATAAATAAAGTTTCTAGAGTTTTTCGTACAAAAATCTATGATTGTGATAGCACATCAACAAAACAAAGTCAAAACAATCCAAAGAACTTGTATGAGCGCCTAGGAATTGCAGGACTATGTGTGCGTTGTGGTGAGAGTAACCACTTGACAAAATCGTGCGACAAGGACATTAACACCTTATTTTGTAGTTTATGCCATAAGCCTGGACATATCTCTAAAGTTTGCATATCAACCTTAACAAGATCAAATCATCGCAAGGTAAATACCATAATTCAAGAAGACATAGAACATGATGAGTTTTCTATTGGAAGAATTGTTCCTGTCGGTATTGCGCCCACTACTTCACCAACGGAAAAATTCACGACAATTCAACTATCCACTTCCACCCTAGCTCCTCCACCATTGAAGCCTGCTGTAACTTGCTCTTTGCCACCTCCACCACCCTCTGTCAAACCTGTGAAATACGGCTACTCTGCAGTTCCTGTTCAACTAATAACCTACGAAATGCCATTGACAACAGTAACTTACAAACCACCTGCCTCGGCTGTCTGTAACGAGTACTCTTACCCAGCTGTGAAACCTGTAGTGCCGAAATTTCTCAAAACACCGATTGTACCACTGAAACCAGTCCGGTACATGACTGCACCCCACTTTGAACATTCTACTCCATCTCCACTGAAGACTCTCAAGTATTCAACAACAGTGCCTGCAGTTAAATATGAATATGTACCTCCTGCCCCGGTAAAACCATTGAAGCCCAATGTGTACTTAAATCCTTCTCCCCCGACAGTGAGCTACGAGTATTCCATTCCAGCTCCAACAGCAGTTTCCAACGGCTACACATCGACCACGTCAATTCTAAAACCCCTAGTTGATTTCCCTGCTGTTAACTACTTAACTCCCGCTCCTACGAGTATTCCATTCCAGCTCCAAAAGCAGTTTCCAACGGCTACACATCGACCACGTCAATTCTAAAACCCCTAGTTGATTTCCCTCCTGTTAACTACTTAACTCCCGCTCCTGGTCATTTTGAATACTCTACTCCAGTTCCAGACAAAACCTACTACTATTCAAAGACTCCAGTAAGCTATCAAGAATAAAAAAAAAACACCTGCTCCTGAAAAAAAAAAAACAACTAAGGCCAATTGCCTACACCACACAAGTATCAGTTATGAGTTTTCCACATCAAGACTTCAACCTGTTGTTCTCTTTTTAGAGGGGAAGACTGTAATATATTCCAATAACCTGTCTTATTAACATTCATCTGAAACAGCTGTAAAATGTTATGTTTACATTTTTCTATCATAATAAATACCGGTATACAGTTTTGTTCTAACATTCAAATAATCACTTTTTATTACTGACATATGTTTTATTAGTTGAATAGAATTTTAATGTATAAATATTATAAACACTATACATAAACTACCCAAGAGGAAACATTACGGAATATTACAAAATTTAATGCAGGCACAGAGTGTATAAAGTGCCTTACTTACATTACAGATTGCTTTTCAATCATAACGATATATTTCTTTTGGTTTACGACACTTTAGGAAAACGTAAACGGACTATAAATTTATTACTTCCTCAAATATTTAGTTTAAATATTACTTTAGAAAAAAACAATGATAGTTCACAAACATAAACTATTGTTTTTCAAAAAAGAGTTTGCTGTGTTACGTATTGCTTAACAAGTAACTGTGCTACTAAACAAGTGATTAAATATCTCCTAGGTGACCTTGGCTGTATTATTTAATTCACAAGTTACTTTTACCCATCACATTGTTAATTTGTTAAAAGCTTTTAAATTCATGCACTAATTAGGTACATAAATAAACCATACACAAATGTTATATGCCATAACCCAAATATGCCATAGGTTTTAGAAAGAATAAATACTCATCATATAACTTACCAGTGCCATAGTCACAAATGCTATTATAGGTCCTAGAGTGCTGTAGAGAACCATGGTTCTCCAGGGCAGAAACGCTCCTAGGATGCTTTCTACCATAAAACCAAGATTGAAGAACACCCCTGTAAGATTCACGTTTCTTAATAACACATAAACCTTTAAATTCAAAATCACCAAAAACCACTATAGAACTTTATATGTACATTATGAACTTATAGATTCAATTAACTGTTAAAATAAAAATAATAAATGCACTGCTTTTCTAACAAAATAGCGATGTTTATTACCTAAATACCCTTTCTAGTTTAATTTCGTATTTGATGTAGGCACACTTCCAGTTGTACATTACAGTACATTACTAATACCTACAGGTTTTTGATAGTTTGTTGTATATGAAATTGTACCTAACAAGTTTTCTACCATGAATCTAAAATATGCATATATAATTGATACAAAACGTTTATTATTCCTTTACAATGGTCATACAATTCAATTACTAACAGCCGTCGGGTTTAGGAGGGAAAGCAAACAATGTGCGTAAAAGTTGGTTATTTCTTGTAGTTTAAATTTCACGATGTAAATCGTCATATGAATTAAATAGTTAGTTGATCAAGGTTATAGCTCTAATATTAGAGACAAAACATTAAAATGAGAAGGGCCCTTTAAAAGGAGGATCCCTTTACTTTACAAAAAAATTTTAATTTGGGATTAAAAAAACAAAAATATTTAATACTAATCAAGCCGTTAACAGTGTTCTGGTCCCCACATACATTCACTGAGAGTTCGTTCCTACCTGCAAAACAGCTGAACACGCCACGCAGCCTAGGCTGGGTCACTTCTCCGACGTACGACAAAAGAGGAGCCTCCAGGAATCCGACGGAGAGACCCATGAGAGTCACGGCGAAGAACAGATGGACGACGGTGGTGGCGAAGTAGAGGATGACCCAGGAGATGAACTGAGGAATGTTGACCATCATCAGACAAGTCTTTCTGCCCAGACGGTTCTGTAGGAAGCCGGAGACGAGACTGCCAGTGGGCTGGGCGATGAAGATAAGACTACCTAGAGAGTGTACGGCAATGTTGTAAAAGAAATAGTAATGGTAGGGAAGGTTTTTCAGTTTGTGTCTACGCCAGTGATACGTTGATTTAGATGGTCACATACGCCATTAGGAATAGTCTTCCGAACCTCTCAAATATTTGTGAATATGCTAGGATTTGATCGGTCCCTCTCGCACTGAATTCCAAGATGCTAACTGCAACATAGCAACACAAGTACAGGTTTGTCTAGGGGGTTGGTAGGGGATTAAGATGAGAACACGATTAGTCCATTTATTTGTCACAAGAGAAATTTAAGTATTCTCTGCGAAATTTTGCTGTTTTTTTTTACCACAGAATAAAAAAAGAGTTCATATTTTTACTTCGGCTTTCTATATTTTGACGAAGATACAAATAAAAAAATGAGTGTGGGATAAATCATCATATGGAGACGCCTTTGCTTTTTTTATACCAAGACCAATGGCTTATTTTGCCAAGTTTATCTATATAAAACCCAAAACCAGTGATGTCTTTAGCCAGGTTCATCTATGAAAAGCCCATTGATCGAAACAAGGTGAATAAGTTTCGAACTAATGAAAATGTACAGATTTTAATTTTAATAAAACAGTCCCTATAAAATATACTAACAATATTACCACTTTGAAATCATCAAAATATGCTTTCACAAATACTTATTTTTAAAAAAGGTTTGTAAGTGGACCAAAGAGTAAATTTATATATTTGTTTAGAGGGTGTATGTTATACATTTAAAAGCTATACACCAATGTTTAATCAATATTTTTCTCTATTTCTACAGTATTGTAATTAAATTTTGTTAGTAGACCCTATTACCTGCAAACGATTCTTGAATATTATGTATGAGTTTTAGTAATAACGAATAAAACAAGAATAACTAATGCACTTTTAAGTTCTTATATAATTAAATATTTTATATAAAGATGTAGATTTCTAGAAGATTAAGGATGTTTGATCAACACCCCGTTATAAAAGTTAGTATTTGTGTTTAAATTATAAGTTTTAACAGATACAGAGTTAAATAATAAAATACGATATAGAATACTAATATTTACGCGATAGACAGCTAATATTTTTCAAGTTTTATAAGTATAGATTGAAACTCTCACATACGAGATCTCTCGTATTATAAAGAAACAACAATAATTAAGACATGTTTAAGACAACCAGATTCTTATCAATACAAGTAAAAAATACCCCCGCCGCAGCAAACCTGCTGACTAAACGAATTTCCATTTGTCCGAATTGATTTTCCATTAAATATATTTAAATAACATTAGGTTTAACGAGTACCTAGGTTTGCTGCTACAAGAAAACTAATAAAGTGTTTTTTTTTGTAAAATATTGATAGCTTATTATAAAATAAATAAATTTTCATCAAAATATATCCATAAAAACTACATTTGACAATATTCTCCAAAAGAATAACATGGGAATTTTAAATTTAAATTTTTTTAAATTTTATCCGTTACCAATGACCGAACAAAAATACTTTTATATACTAAATTATTTTTTTAAGCTCTTTAAAAAGGTGTAAAGAGAAATTGGGAAATTTTGTGTTTTGAGGGTCTAAAGTGAGAAAAAAAAATTTTTACCCCATAAAACCCCCCGTAAAGCCCCGTTCCCATTATCCAATCATGCTGGTTCGCGAACACATTCAAGTTTATCCCGCTTTACACCTTTAAACCAAATTTCATCAAAATCGGACAAAAATCATTCGAGTTATCACGTTTACGGACGTATATACAGGGTGTCCCGGAACTCTCTACCAATATTTTAGGGCATTGCTCCTGGGTAAGAAACATACCAAAATATCATATTTAAATTGTCCGGAAGTCCTTAGTTACTCACATAGCCGCCATTTTGTTTTTTCCACTAATTAATTTTTTTCTGAAAAGTGGTTAAACATACGAAATTGAAACTTGACACAAACATTTATGACAACTAGACAAAGCTACCAAAAAATCATGACAATTTTTCAAATTCATAGAACAAAATGGCGGCCATTTCAAATTTTGTTTCTTAAATAGCTCGAAAACCGTTGATTTTACCAAAATTTTAAACGGCTGCCATTTTGTTTTATGAATTTACAAAATTGTCATAATTTTTTGGTAGCTTTTTTTAGTTGTCATAAAAGTTTGTGCAAAGTTTCCATTTGGTATGTTCAACCATTCTTTAGAAAAAATCAATAACTGAAAAAAACAAAATGGTGGCTGTGTGAGTAACCAAGGACTTCTGGACAATTTAAATATGATATTTAGGTATGTTTCTTACCCAGGAGCAATGCCCTAAAATATTGGTAGAGAGTTCCGGGACACCCTGTATATACGTCCGTAGGTACATAAACAATAATATACATAAATACAAATTTGAACGAATGGTGTTTTTGGCCTCTGGGGACATCAAAATGAAAAAGTAAACCGGTCCCGGGTTTAGGTCTTACCGTGCCACCTACGGTAATAGCTACTTCCCTATAGGGAAATTCGCTAAAAAGATTGAACTTATTTCAGATTTATTATTATGTAGGCCTACGTGAATGGTAAAACAGAAAGAATACCGAGAGTAAAAGCTACATAATTACCAAACCACGAAGCCTGGGTTTCTGTGAGCCACAAGGCCGAAGATACCTCACTGCGGAGAGCTCCTATGATGATCGTTGGCATTGCTGTTATTAATCCAATGTTAGCGTTGGTTATACTGAATCCCATCGCAGCGAAGAACTGAAAAAAATGTAATATTAATTTATGTGTATTACATGTCTTTTATCATTTTATATTTATTTAATATTAATCTGTAAAAATATTATTGTAAACAACATTATGAATTTGTATAGCCATTAAGAGGCAAGGATACGGTTTAAGCGAAAAAGCCGACTTTGAGTAAAACCACCTTGAGTGTTGCAATAACTGTATTTCAGACAATGAAATTTCGCGAGGAATGTATTTAGGCTATATTAGATTTACGACTCAGCAAAGTGGAAGGTGAACAATTCACATTTTACACAAAGTGTGATGTACCAATTACAAATTTATATATTATCAAGTACTCTTAGTCCAACTTTGTCTCAAGAACAATTTGCATTTATGAGTTAGATGTTTAGTCGTTCCTTAAAACCATGTAAAGCTCAGCTACTACAAACAAGACAATAATTTTTCTTGCATAAGCTTATAAACAATATGATTATGAAAAAAACAAGACGGAAATGATTTATAAAGCCCCATTGTCTCAAATATTTTGTAATACTAATAACAGATTTCAAAGGTTAAGATGAATCAGTTCACAATAGTATCTGTGATTTGTACGGTGGAGTATGGATTTCTTGATTTTACAGCTCTGCGCCTGTATTGAAATTGCTATTTTGCAGTAACCCGTAATACGTTCATTATTTGAAATATATTTGAACGAGGGAACCCGTTATAAAACTGCGCAGCTTAGCACAGTTGAAAATGCAATTCAAACTTAATCCTTTAAAAGATTGTGTTAGGCATATATAAGGTGCATAAACTAAAATTGTTGATTGTAGATTTGTACCATTTAAAGTGATTTACGCACCTTAACCAAGTTACAATTAATCATAACTATAAGGCTAGACTGTTTAATAATATTTACGCGAATGTCAACTAAGACATCATTTTAGTCGCCACTCTAACGTATAATTTCATTTTAAAATTTGCTTTCAAAGATTCGGTGATGCTGATCACCTTTATTTATAACGGATTGGATGTGAATTTAAATTTGAACCATTGAGCATTCAATTAAATGTACAAGTGTAATTACAGTCAAATTGTAAACAAAAGACAAAGCATTTTATTAAAACGGATTTTAAAGAAGCTACGTTTTCTTTATATTACTCATTACGGTTTAGTTTAAAGTCAGCAAATACAATTTGTTGTTTTATTGATAGAATACCGTTTTAAACCAACTAAATCATGGAAAAGTAAAAGCGTTTTGCATTATTCGTTTTGGGTCAGAAACAAGCTATGATTTTTTATCAAAATTTTATCATTAAATTTATGCACGGGTCCCCCCGTTCACATTAAAACCCATTATAAAGAAAGTTGGCCAGCATCACTGGATCCTAAAAGTGAAATCTAGAAATAAATAAAACGCTTGGGAGGCAAAGTTACCAATTCGTCACTTCACTGGATCAAAAGCTGTAAAACGACACCTTAAACGTAAAAATAGGTTAAATAGAGTAGCCGAAAAAGGGATGTAGGCCTAACAGAGCAACCCATAATTTTACTAAGTACATAGATACTATTGCCTAGCATAGTCAATCCCCATGCATTGTGGTATTCATTCTGAGAAAATGTTTTATATTGTGTAAAGCCATAGTGCAATACCTGAAATAATTGGATAGCTTAACACCAATAATTGAATACGTCATAAATCAGTTAAATAAACTTATTTATGCTTCCAATTAAAATCAGGTGAAATATACAGGGTGTTTTTTTTTTAAAGTTGCATCTTTATTTATGTAAAAACCGCAATAGATAGAAATATGCAGTTGGCGGGAATCATCTATTGACGTAGGGGGCACATTTTTTTTTAATGCAACGTAACATTTACATTCCCCCCCTTTCCCCCCTGCCCCCAACTTAATTTTTTTTAAATAGCAAGGTACCTCTTGTGACATATCAAATAAAAGAGCATGAAAAAAGAAAACGTTTGATGAAAAAAAATTGAAAATCGGTTCATAAATTTGTGAGATATTCCCCCCCTCCCCCCCGGAACTTATTTTTTTTAAAGCAAGGTACCCCTTGTGACATATAAAATGAAAGAGCATGAAAAAAGAAAATTTTTGCTGAAAAAAAATTTAAAATCGGCTCATGAATTTGTGAGATAATCCCCCCCTTTTTCCCCTACCCATAACTTGATTTTTAATAGCAAGGTACCCGCCCTTGTGACATATCAAATGAAAAATACATTTCACCAAAAATTTTCTTTTTTCATGCTCTTTCATTTGATATGTCACAAGGGGTACCTTGCTATTTAAAAAAAATAAGTTGGGGGCAGGGGCGGAAAGGGGGGAATGTGAATGTAACGTTGAATTCAAAACAATTGGGCCCCCTACGTCAATAGATGATTCCCGCAAACCGCATATTTCTATCTATTGCGGTTTTTACATAAATAAAGATGCAAGTTTTTAAAAAAACACCCTGTATAATTTTTATCCAAGCACTTCATACATACGTAAAACTAATCGAGAGTAGACATATTTAAGAAAAAATAATATCAGGAATAATTTTTGGTAACTGTAGTAATGTTATAACTTTGGATGGTAATTACATGATGTACGATAAATTTATAAGTTTATATTGTAACTACTTACCTGTGCCAGAGTTGATTTGAAGCTTTTCGATCCATTTTTCACCTTCTCCATGGCAATGACAGATTGTTAGGTCTAGCAGAGTGCCTTGAATACAACCTAAGTTGTGTAAGGTACAAAACAGACATATGAAGATTGTTATGACGAAACGTCAAAGACCAGACAACAAACGGGTAGAGCTTTGCTGATAAGATTTCGTGTGTAAAGAAGTACAGAAGATTAACTACATGGAATTTGTATGTGTGTTCTGTATATATTTATGTGCTATCTATAGATTTACATTTTAAACAAGATTTCACCCAAAACCTTATTATTAAGTGTCTGTTTTTTTTTTATAAAGAGGATAGAATTATATTTGTTACTAATCGAATGCAAGTTTGATAAATAATGAAAACTTTGACTGAATTAAGAAAACTTTTAAATAGTAATCGGAATCATCAATCTGACTCATGCATTCTCTGATTAGTTTGACAATATCCTATATCATGGACAAATGGTGGGAGTGAGATTTTATGAGGAAAATCACAAAAGTTGCAATTAATTTTGAACCATACATTTACATGGGGTTATACCAATTTGTTTGCAGCTAAACGGATTTCCGATTTCTTATGTTTTTATTCGGAATGGGAAATTTAAAAAAATGACGTCTGGAGATAACATAGATTAGTAGTCACATAAAAATCTCCATGAAAATCAGACCACAGGTGTATTTTGTAGTTCTGTACACAAATAGACAGATGCACAGACAAAACTATTAGATTTATATATAATTTTATATTAATACTAGCACAACCCGTCGTGGGTTTGCACACAAAATTTAAATTTTAAAGATAAACGTTTATCTAATACAAAATAATGAGAAAGAAACATTGCGGATACAGTTTAAAATAAATTTTATTTTTATAAAAATCCTATAATATATAATCAACGAAGTTAATTAAACGTATTGGACTACTATGATGTTAAACTCAGGGAGATGCATTCACTGTCCTTCCTGACATTCACTGAACTTCGGACTACTCACTCTGAAACCACCCACATAATATTTTTGACCAGAATAATATTTCCGATGTATCTCCTTTTACTTAGGTTTACACGCATAAACCTTATTTTGCAATAGTACAGTCAGTTCTCTCATAAAAGTATTAAAAAGTGTTCTGTATGTTAAAGTAACATTAAGAAACATAACAACCTTGCACGATGTTTTATTTTAGTTCTTATAACCCTCAATGAACGTAAACAGTTGCAGCTCTACAGTATCTGTGTTCACCAAGCGGAATCACATAAAAGGAATTATTAAACTCAATATCATGCATACATTCCTTAAAAAAAAATATAAAAACATTTTAAATTCAACTTAACCGCAAATACTTTTTATACTCGACCAAAAATGTCAACTCAGATTATAAAGAACATATGCACACATCTACAATAGCATGATTGTGACCGTGTTATTAGCCTATATGTAGAAATGGACGGTTTTATACTTATTAACAACTTTTGTTCTTCTCTCTTGGACACCGATTATAAATACAGTGATAAGAGAAGGCAAATACCATCCATCTGTTCAAATGTAAACTAATAACTTCTCTAGAAAGATAACATGGGACCTTTAAAGGCCACTGGGACAGAGCACTGATACTGATAGAATATTTTTGAAAACGCTTCTTATTACACATTTAGAGATTATTGGAACCTCTATACGGTATAGACTATACATCAGTTCCTGAGTTCTGATGGCTTGTAGTTTTTAAGATATAGTTATTGGTAAGCGAGTCTTAGCACTTTATAAGTATAGATTACCTATAAATACCGATTAAAAATAAGGAGCCTGATTTTCTTTTATTATCTCGATACTTAACACTTAAATGAACGTCATTACATAATCAGCTATTACACGTTAAAAGTAATTACGTAACAAAATATTTTAGATCGACTTAGTAACTGATATATTTCTTTATGTGCCTTCATATATCGGAAATTTATTCATGAGAAGTTTGCCTGCCTTATTAAAAAATAAAAAATAAAAACAAAAACAATTTTTTGAAGAAACTAAAATAATTCTTAATTAATCTTTTTTTTCTTTTCTTTTTTTTTTTTTTAAAAAAAAGAGGTTGGCGGCCTCTTTTAACCTTGCATTTGCCCGTCCACATAGACTAAGCGCCCGTGCGTGGGACGTTTACAGCAAAGCAAGGAGTGAGCCGGTACAGTACAAAGGTGAACTGTACTGATAAAATGTTATCGGCAGTGACCAGGATCCGAACCCACGACATCGCTGCCTTGGGCCCGAAGTCCGCAACGCTACCGACTGAGCCACCGACTCACTTAACTCACTTATCTGGCTCCCTATAGTATAGATGAGTTTCTAAATCAAAGATTAATTAGCTATCCATTCTAAAATAATTGTAAAATTGTATAGTCTTTTAGATTAAATTGTATAACCAATTTTGTATGCTTTGACACTATTCATGGATATAAAATTTATAAAGTGAATAAAGATAATTTGATTTGATTTGATATAGTGAACTAATAACAATAAAATCAACTAATCTACTGTATAACTGGGATTATAGATTACACTAGGCTGTTTTTCCAAGCTTAAACTTACCTTTATGATAATCTGATAACTTAGTAATAACCAAAAACGTGTTGGCTAATTTTAATGGACACGTTGGATGCATGGACTCCCTTCACCAAAATCTAAATGTTTACACAAACACAGAGAGACACTAGGCCAACGATGACTAAACATTTCTGACTCTGGTTCCCCTCTGAAACACCCCCCCCCCTTATATCGATATTTGATCCCAAGTTTGTTCCATTTGATTGAACAACCACCAGGAGGATTATCTTTCATTTATGTCTGAGCGTTCATGATAGTTGGAGTTGTGGGTCGGGGAAAGTTTGATCTACGTTTCCCCTAAAAACCGATATGATCTTCTTCCCTAAGATGCCTTTCATATGCGTCGTAATTGGTTATAGTTAGTTACATTGCAAAGCTATTGAGAATTCCTGAGAAGCTTAATAATTTGACACTACTTGTACTCACATAGTCTTCATATAAACAGTTGGAAAGGTCTTTATTTGTGAAAAGACTAAGTTTTGCTGAACATTTGGTGCCAGGGTCATTGAATGGTAGAACAGTAAATCAGAATACACAAGAAATTAATTTAATTTATTAAACAAATTAAAATCTTACACCCATCAATTCATAACACCTGTGCCATTTTTTAAACCTCCTCTGGAGTTTGTTACAGTAATTGTAAATAAGTCAAACATCAAAGATCGGAAAAATATCGTAATAAACATAAGAGAAACTACTACAGAAAACAATATTACCCTATACTTTATGTGAGCTCAAAATTACCTTAAAATTTAGCTAGTAATCAGTATTCGTAGTCTATATTGTAGAAAACAATCTAATTAATTCTACTGAATCCTGAAAACGATTGTTTACAGTATATGGTTACATAATTTAATATAATACATAGTTAAATACACAAAGGTAATACTAATTTAAATAATTCCTTTTCTAGTATGTATTTCAGACTTCTAAATGTACCGCGGAGGTGATTTTCATATCCTCTAACGGTTTAAAGCCTTTCCATGGTTATTGTACGAAGTTAAACGAGGTTTCTGGACAAATACTCAACTGATTGTTTCTGAACTAAAATTCAAATAAAACTGCTTGATTCACTCCCCTGATTTTGGAGTGAATTTAGGGGATCGTGATGTAGCCACCTGTGCCAATCAATCTACTAAGAAGAGTAATAACAAACTACCTCAATCTACTAATTCAACTAATCAACTTATCAAAATCAACTAATCAACTAATCCAACCAATGAACTAATACTTTTTTGTTCTACAGTATCTAACTTATATCACACCGTTTAATAAATCTATTATTGAGGGAGTCACATGGAACTCAGTTAAACTATGGCATATTTTGCACATTTAAAGTTCTAGTAACAACAATGTAGACTAAAATTCTAATTGTTGAAAAATAGCTAAGTTAACCAATCACATACTATTGCAAAATTACTATAACTGACTGATGCGACATGACCTGAAACACTTTTCATAAAGGTTAATTCGTTAACTGCCAACTGAAGTACCTATCTGAGCCTGTTATATATTAGTCCAGTCAAGTAAAACATCCGTGCGTGCAAAAGGTCATGTAGTTCCTTGAGGCGCATTCCGACATCTCGGAGGTTGACCCTTGAATAATAAAGCAAAGGAGTTATAATAATTACACTGGTATCTAAAAAAAACAAATATATATACGTCTAATAACACTTGCCTATTGGGTCTGATGATGATTGGAGTGTCCAATCGAAATCGATCACCACTTACTATTTTTTATATGTATTTACCGTCTTGTGAGTCAACAGTAAGGGTAAATGTATTATTACAAGTGTTATTAGACGTAAATCTTTTTCAGGTAATTTATTAACACGTACAATGTTGATCAAGAAGTTGTACACTAATACAGCTTCAGTATAGCAGTGTTAAAAAGTGTTTTGTTGTACATAAGGTTGAATTATTATAAGTTGCCAGAATATGACCAAAAACTTTTAGTCAATTATTAGCTATAATTAAAATTATTGTAAAGCTTTCATCAATCAGTGTTGACCACATTCATTTTTACTGTATATTTTTTAACTTACATATCTAGGACTCAATCAATGATACATCTTAACATCTTTTATTCACTGAGTTCTAGTTTGTGCATGTAATGTGTCATGGGCGAGACGTACCAAAACACTTGTTTGCACACTCTTTTATTGTCATCTTCCAGCCTGTAAGTTTTGTGAAATACTCTTCCTGGAGACCCTTCTCTCACTGAGATTCCTCTCGATGGCCTCCAAGGCATGCCCCTCGGTCTCAGGTAGGTCCACGTAGAGGTAGACCAACCCCAGGAGACTGATGGTCCCGTAGAGGATGCACGTCCCGGACACGTTCACCCAGGAGACGACGTTGAAGTAGGTCTTGGTCACAACAAAGCTGAAGAAGTAGGACATTGCGGCACAGATCGCACTTCCCATACTTTTTGCCCTGAAATATTTACGCGGGATTTAAGTAACTTGAAGTTCCATAGTGCAAGTTGAGTTTAGATTCTTAATATTGAGGAGCAAATTGATCATAAAAGCATTTATTATATTTTGAGGGTATGAATTTAGCATCAATTGCAAATATGTAATTTAATGATTGACATTTGTTGTAAAAAGCGAGTTTAGACTTAAGCCTCTCAAGATATTGTCAAAATATTCCCTGAGTTATCGAAAAATTACCTTTCTGACAAATTAGACCTCTGCACAAGGGTAATATTCATAATACACCTTACAATACTAAAAGGAAGAATACGAGAAACATATTTGTCTACTGATATTGCAAAGTTACGAAAATATAATCTCAACCATAATAGAATAGTTACTTTTCTTTCTTTATACTTTCTTATTAAATGAAGACCATACAAAGTAGGTATTTAAGCAAAGTATGAATGGAGATGAGTGTAGGATGAGTGGCGCGATCTTGTAGTCTTGTTAGTGACTAAGACTACTATTCTGATTGCCTTTTAAATTAAATCAACAAATTACCTAAGAGGAAACAGTTCCGCATTAAGTATCCACGGAACAGATCCAATCCCAAGAGTTGCGCTGAAGTAGGAGATGAAGAACAATATGACGGGGATCCAGGGGATGTTCGCCCTAGTCAGGAGATATGCTCCGATGCCATAGCAGCAACAGACACTCAGGCCAAGTGAAAGAAAGGTGATCCCTCGCTTACCTAGAGGCTTCATAGCCAGGCACATCCCCAAAGACCCTAGAAGCTTAAGAGCTCCACAAATTGCCTGCAAAAAATAGTGATCTTGGTTAAGAAATTTGAAGTATGCGTTAAACGTAGTTATTAGATCCTTCTTCCATAAACCAAAAAATACCAAGATAAAATAAAATACTATCATAACTGTTACTTACAACAACTGTGAAGGGTCTGATGGACGAGTTGAGGTTCTCGAGGACCTCGACAAAGAACGGCCTCATGCCGTAGAGAGTGGCGCAGGAAGTGATGAAGAAGTAACTCAGGATGACTCGGAAAGCTATCAAAGCCTCTGGTTCTAGCAACGACCTCCATCCAGGGTTAGGTTTTCTCTCAGGCTGTGAGTTACCTGGAAATTGTTAACTATCATTAGTAAATCTTGCATGAACATTTTAGCTTAGCAATTAATTGGAAACAATCAATCTGTATTAATCTTCCAGGTTATAAAATATTAATTGTTATTATCAGCTATACTTCATTTCGGAAATAGTATATTTCACTACTAGTCAAGACGAGCATGGGAAACACTATCGAGCCCCAAAATGGAACTTTCATGACGAGTATTGAACGATAATTTTTATCACGATGAAAAAAACTACTTCATCAAACTAAGAAAATTATCTGATATTTCGTAATCTATTCATTTTTATAATCTAACACAATACGGCTGTACAATAAATTTTAGTGTAAAATTCAGCTGATTGTAACTTTGTTGATGTCAGGCAATAGCTATTTGTGCAACTAGTGAGAAAAGTGAGCAATTGACTCACTCGAGAGAAATCCTTACTCACGAGCCGTAGGCGAGTGAGGAATGGTTTCTCGAGTGAGGCAATTGTACTTTGAACTCGAGTTGCACATAATACTTTTCCTACAGTTACCATAAAACAAATAAATTTTCCTACAGTTACCTAACAATGTACATGTTTACTCACTGATTTGAGAAAGCAAAGTGGTCAATTCGCTCATCAGTGAGACAATGTTAACATTGTCTCACTCCAATTACTTTGTCTCTCTCCAGATTTGCAACGTGAAGGCACGAAATAGTCAGGCCCGTTTTTGACCATGTCAGCGCCCTAGGCACAACTAATAGTAGCGCCCCTTTGCAATATATAACAGGGTGACCATACCAACCGGGAAATCCGGGAACTAAGCGTGAATTTTTTTGAACCAAGTATTATGAGTTAATTTTCTACCTGGAATTGTCAATTTACAACAGTGACGTTTCCGTGACCACGGGAGACGGGAGGCGATAATATGTCTCCACAAGGCCTCGAGGGATGATCAGAACTTTGCCGCGATCGCATGAGATGACAATAATATCTAAACGACCGCGGGATATGATCATGATTTTACCGCGATCGCGCAATACGATAATGAGATCCACAGAGCCGTGAAGGATAATCAGAATATTGCCGCGATCGCATGATACGATGATAATGTCTAAACGATCATGGGATATGATCATGATTTTACCGCGATCGCGCGAGACTATGATAATGACTAAATGACCGCGGGATATGATCATGGTCCACACAACCACGGAAAACAGTCAGAAATTTGCCACGATCGCGGAAGACGATAATGATATCCACATAACTGCGGGATATTATTAACATTTTGCCGTAATCACGGGAGACAATTACGATGTCTTCACGACAGCGGGAGACGATTACGATGTCTTCACGACCGCGGGAGACGATTACGATGTCTTCACGATCGCGCGGAAACGATTACGATGTCTTCACGATCGCTATACAATAATGATGTCTACTCTACACGGCTGCGAGGGATGATCAGAATTTTACCGCAATCGCGTAAGACGATGATAATGTCCACTCAACCACGGGAAAGATCAGAAATTTGCCTCATTCGTGAAAGACGATGATGATCTCCAAACAACCACGGGAGATGATTACCATTTGCCGCAATGGCGGGAGAGGATGACAATGCCTCACGACCACGGGAGGCGATGATGTCTTCACGGCTGTGAGGGATTATCAGAATTTTATCGTGATCACGCAAGAAGATGATAATGTCCACACGACCCCGGGAAAAGATTACAATTTTGTCTCATTCGCGGTAGACGGTGATAATCTCATCACGACCGCAGGATGTGTTCATATATTGCCGCGATCAAGGAAGACGATAATTATGTCCACACATCCGCTGGAAATAGTCAGAACTTTGACGCGATCGCGGGAGACGGACGATGATGACGTATATACAACCGCGGTAAATAATTAACATCTTGCCGCAGATGTGGGAGACTGTTGAGGTAAACTAGTTTACCTTGTGGTTGCCAGATTCTTGAAATGTGTAGATATCTTGCTCGATGTACATTTCGCTACATGTGTAGCATCGTCAGGAGCACAGTTTGTCACATTAGGCTATTTAATGTAGCGAAATGTACATCGAGCAAGATATCTACACATTTCAAGAATCTGGCAACCACAAGGTAAACTAGTTTATTAATAATTCGTTCTTGAAGCTGGAATAATACACAACTGTTAAGGTGTCTTCACGGCCGGAAGGGATTATCAGTTTACCGCGATCGCATGCAAAAACGGCCACAATTTTTTTTCTTTTTTCCAATTTTTTGGCGCCCCCCAAAAAAGCCAATTGCCTCGCGCCCTAGGCACGTGCCTACCTTGCCTATTCGGTAAATCGGCCCTGGAAATAGTGAGCGCATAACATGCAGGCAACGTCCTATGCGCGCGAATTACGTTGGCAGCACTGGCTGAAAATCAGCTGGTCAGTTGTTGTACTGTTGTATTTGTCACTTCACATTAGATGTTATATTAAAAATTCACTTCTGTGTAAAAATAGGTTATGTTTCTTCACCAATTTATTTGTTTTATGGTAACTGTAGGAAAAGTATAATGTGCAACTCGAGTTCAAAGTACAATTGCCTCACTCGAGAAACCATTCCTCACTCGCCTACGGCTCGTGAGTAAGGATTTCTCTCGAGTGAGTCAATCGCTCACTTTTCTCACTAGTTGCACAAAACACTATTGTGAAGAAACATAACCTATTTTTACACAGAATTGAACTTTTAATGTAACATTTAATGTGAAGAGACAAATACAACAGTACAACAGTTGACCAGCTGATTTACAGCCAGTGCTGCCAACGTATTTCGCGCGCATACGACGTTGCCTGCATGTTACGCGCTCACTATTTCGTGCCTTCACGTTGCAAATCTGGAGTGAGACAAAGTAATTAGAGTGAGACAATCTTAACATTGTCTCACTGATGAGCGAATTGGCCACTTTGCTTTCTCAAATCAGTGAGAGAACATGTACATTGTTAGGCAACTGTAGGAAAAGTATTGTTTGTGTAGCGAAAGTAATGTTTATGTAGAGAAAGTAATGTTTATGTCAGGAAAAGTCAGCTAAACACTATTTGATTTTAGTGTATAGAAATTGAAGATTTTCGAAATATCAGCTGCATGGAAATGGGCTATTTTCGAATACAGAGTGATGAAAACAAGTTTTATACGTAAAACATACAACATACAATAAAACAGGTAGACACTTGCCTGTGCATATGACATAAATGAAACCAGGCCCGAAAAAAGGGTTATAAAGGTTCATTCAGAGAATAGTAGGTTAGGTCCTGTTCTCAAGAAGGTTCCTTAACCATGAGTCTCCTGTCTAGACTTCTGACGGAGTTCGACAACTTGTCCTAGATATTGATACCACAGAGCTAAAAAAAGACTTGAGATGAGTTCTTAAGAATGTACAATCTGCCTCGATGTCTTGTTCCGTGATCATGGATATCAGTTTTCAACAGTTATCAACATTTCTTTATATTATCTGAGGGTTGAGAGGACATTTGTTTCACCTTGATCGACAGCTTTTTGGCAATCCTTTTTTGTGCCCTATGGGAACAGACCTATAGAATAAAGAACCCTTAGATTCTGACACAAACAAAATTATTAAAAGTGGAATCATAAGATTTATGAAGTGTGCCTGTTACCTTGGTCATTAACCACCAGGTTGTACTCAGTGTTCTGGAAGTACTTTGATTTCCCTTGGGTCTCTTGAACGTAGCAGACGAGGGTGTCTAGCTCTTCCTTGACCATCTCCGGAGACACCCATCCTCTCAGCCACTGGAAGGCTTTCTCAGCATCCTTCACTCGACCTTTAGTCACCAGCCAGGCAGGTGAGTCTGGAAGCTGTAGATAATACAACACAAGTAATATATATATTTTTAACCAAACGAATGGATTGATACTAAGTAATTCCTAATTAGTAAAGGAGAGAACATTATATACTTTAATATGCATATCTCATTTTAAAATATCTCTATTCTCTGTTTGATTTTGTTTTCTGATCATCATTTGATGATTAGTTGAATAGAATTTGAATTTATAAATATTATAAACATTATACAAAAAACTACCAAAGACGAAACATTAAAGAATATTACAAAACTTTAATGCAGGCACGGAGTGTATAAAGTGCTTTACTTACAATACAGATTGATTATCAAACATAACGTTGTATTTCTTTTGGTTCAAGACACTTTAGGGACTAAAGTGATGGACTAATTACTACACAAACATCGATTCACTTACCTTCGTAGCTATAGTGCCAAATTAAAAAAAAAACAAACATAAACGGACTATAAATTGATGGTTTTCTCAAATATTTAGTTTAAATATTACATTGGTAAAAACAGTGATAGTTTACAAACATAAACAATTGTTTTTCAAAAAAGAGTTTGCTTTGTTACGAATTGTTTATCAAGTACCTGTGCTACTAAACAAGTGATTAAATATCTCCTCGGTGACCTTAGTTGTATTATTTAATTCACAAGTTACTTTTACCCATCACATTGTTGATTTGTTAAAAGCTTTTAAATTCATGCACTAATTAGGTACATAAATAAACCAAACACAAATGTTATACGCCATAACTCAAATAAGCCATAGGTTTTGGAAAAAAATAAATACTCATCATATAACTTACCAGTGCCATAGTCACAAATGCTATTATAGGACCTAGAGTGCTGTAGAGAACCATGGTTCTCCAGGGCAGACACGCTCCTAGGATGCTCTCTATCATAAAACCAAGATTGAAGAACACACCTGTAAGATTCACGTTTCTTAATAACACATAAACCTTTGAATTCAAAATTGCCAAAAACCACTATAGAACTTTATATGTACATTATGAATTTATAGATTCAATTAACTGTAAAAATAAAAATAATGAATGCACTGCTCTTCTAACAAAATAGCTATGTTTATTACCTAGAAGTATTAATACCTTTTCTAGTTTACTTTTATATTTGATGTAGACCCGCTTTCAGTTGATCATTACATTACTAATACCTACAGGTTTTCTATAGTTTGTTGTATATGAAATTATACCTAACAAGTTTTCTACCGGGAATTTAACATATGCATAATTAATACAAAACTTTTTATTCCTTTACAATGGTCATACAGTTCAATTACTAACAGCCGCCGTGTTTAGGAGGGAAAGCAAACAATGTGCGTAAAAGTTGGTCATTTCTTGTAGTTTAAATTTCACGATGTTAATCGTCATATGAATTAAATAATAAGTTGATTAAGGCTATAGTTCTAACATTAGAGACAATCCATTAAAATGACAAGAGTATAAAATGTAGGATAGTAAGGATTCATTTACTTAACAAAACATTTTTAATTTGGGACTTAAAAAAAAAAAAAAAATAATACTAGCTGTGTGCCCGATCTTATAGTAGTCAGTTGAATGTGACAAAAATCACAAAATGTGTTGGGTTTTTGGACATTTGTAACTTTATTTCTTAAGTAGGTATGCCATGGATTCCATGGAAAAGTACAGGTATCAAGGATCATCATCGAAAAGGTTGTTATAAATAAATAGGTAGGCGTACGTACCCAAGAGATGGGCTATGGGCCTATTGGCTCTATGGTCCAGCGATTGCATCACACGGTGAGTAGACACAGAAAGTGACACATTGGAAAAGCGAGTTTAGCATCATCCGTATACCTCTATTACTTACAATCACCCACGGCAGTTGTGATTTTTTTACTTTACATTTTACACAATCGCCATTGAAGCGCCGTCAGTGAGTGGAAACCTTGTTTGTAAGCTATTGGCGACGATCATTACAAGTGTCCCCGTCCTATACAACACTGATTCAAGGTCTTCTTTCTGGTTATCAAAACTCAAGAACAATTTCATACACAAATAATCTCTGGTTCCTGACCTGGATGATGCCTAGTTATTTAATTTCATTTACGGTTACACTATAATATTGCACTTGCGATCAATTAAATCCGTTATGTAAGAAAAACGTTTTTAATATCACTTTGTTTGGGATTTGCTTTCAAAACGTGATCGGAAATGATTGGGGTATTTGTAAACAATATTTGTAAACATATCACTGACAGCTAGAAAAAATAATCTTGATCCGAACAGCTGTTCGTTATTTCATAGATGATTATGTGCTAAAAATTGACCGAAAACTTGACAAAAATCGCACAAACCGCATTTTTGAACGTCCGTAATTTTATTTACAAAGTAGTGAGGCCATGTTTTAATGGCTAAAGACACTCTCGCCAATCCAGTGAATACATTAAAATGACTTGGATCTTGATAGGTACTCTCGTTTTTCAGGAGAAGGCCGTGTAAAATGGCTCTTGGTCCGTGACAGACAGAAGACAGACATAAATTGAGATGAGACTTGTTTCGGCTTCTTTAATGTATAAAACGTTAAAATAACCTAAAAATTTAAGATTCTGAGCAATGTACAGACAAAACTCTAATTTTATTTATATAGACTAATCAAGACGTTAACAGTGTTCTGGTCCCCCCATACATTAACTGAGAGTTCGTACCTACCTGCAAAACAGCTGAACACGCCACGCAGCCTAGGCTGGGTCACTTCTCCGACGTACGACAAAAGAGGAGCCTCCAGGAATCCGAAGGAGAGACCCATAAGAGTCACGGCGAGGAACAGATGGACGGCGGTGGTGGCGAAGTAGAGGATGACCCAGGAGATGAACTGAGGAATGTTGACCATCATCAGACAAGTCTTTCTGCCCAGACGGTTCTGCAGGAAGCCGGAGACGAGACTGCCAGTGGGCTGGGCGATGAAGATAAGACTACCTAGAGAGTGTACGGCAATGTTGTAAAAGACATAGTAATGGTAGGGAAGGTTTTTCAGTTTGTGTCTACGCCAGTGATACGTTGATTTAGATAGCCACATACGCCTTTAGGAAAAGTCTTCCGAACCTCTCAAATATTTGTGAATATGCTAGGATTTGATCGGTCCCTCTCGAACTGAATTCCGAGATGCTAACTGCAACATAGCAACACAAGAACAGGTTTGTCTAGGGGGTTGGTAGGGGGTTAAGATCAGAACACGATTAGTCCATATATTTGTGGCAAGAGGAATTTAAGTATTTTCTGCGAAATTTTGCTGTTTTTTTTCCACAGAATAAAAAAGAGTCTTCATATTTTTACTTTGGCTTTCTATATTTTGACGAAGATATAATTAAAAAAAATCAATCAATAAAATGGCTTCTTTTGCCAAGTTCATCTATATAAATCCCAAGACCAGTGATGTCTTTGGCCAGGTTCATCTATGAAAAGCCCATTGATCGAAACAAGGTGAATAATTTTCGAACTAATGAAAATGTACAGATTTTAATTTTAATAAAACAGTGTCCTTTAAAATAGACTAACACTATTACCACTTTGAAATAATCAAAATAAGCTTTTACAAATACTTACCTATTTCTAAAAAGGTATGTAAGTGGACCAAAGAGTAAATTTATATATTTGTTTAGAGGGTGTATGTTATACATTTAAAAGCTTAACACCAATTTTTAAACAATATTTTTCTCTATTTGTACAGTATTGTAGTTAAATCTTGTTAGTAGATCCTATTACCTGCAAACGAGTCTTGAATATGTATGAGTATTGGTAATAACGAATAAAACAAGAATAACCAATGCACTTTTAAGTTCTTATACAATTAACTATTTTATATAAAGATGTAAATTTCTAGATTAATGATGTTTGATCAACACCACGTTATAAAACGTTAGTATTTGTGTTTAAATGATAAGTTTTAACAGATACAGAGTTAAATAATAAAATACGATATAGAATACTAATATTTACGTGATAGACAGCTAATATTTTTCAAGTTTTATAAGTATAGATTGAAACTCTCACATACGAGATTTCGTATTATAAAGAAACGACAATAATTAAGACATGTTTAAGACAACCAGATTCTTATTAATACAGGTAGAAAAAGATTAAACTTATTTCAGATTTATTATTATGTAGGCCTACGTGAATAGTAAAACAGAAAGAATACCGAGAGTAAAAGCTTCATAATTACCAAACCACGAAGCCTGGGTTTCTGTGAGCCACAAGGTCGAAGATACCTCACTGCGGAGAGCTCCTATGATGATCGTTGGCATTGCTGTTATTAATCCAATGTTAGCGTTGGTTATACTGAATCCCATCGCAGCGAAGAACTGAAAAAAATTGTAATATTAATTTATGTTTTTTACATGTCTTTTATCATTTTAGCGAATTTCCCTATAGGGAAGTAGCTATTACCGTAGGCGGCACGGTAAGACCTAGACCCGGGACCGATTTACTTTTTCATTTTGATGTCCCCAGAGGCCAAAAACACAATTCGTTCAAATTTGTATATACGTCCGTGAACGCGATAACTTGAGTAATTGTTGTCTGATTTTGATGAAATTTGGTTTAAAGGTGCAAAGCGGGATAAACTTGAATGAGTTCGAAAACCAGCATGATCGGACCATGGGAACAAGGCTTTATGGGGGGTTTTTTGGGGTGAAAATTGGTTTTGGTTTTTCTCACTTTTGACCCTCAAAACACAAAATTTCCCAATTTCTCTTTAGACCTTTTTAAAGAGTAAAAAAAAACAAATAATTTAGCATATATACAAGTTTTTTTGTTCGGTTATTGGTAATGGAGAAAATAAAGAAAATTGTAATTTTAAAATTCCCATGTTATTTTTGTGGAGAATATTGTCAAATGTTGAAGTTTGCTTGTTTATGGATATATTTTGATCAAACTTGGCAAATTTATTTATTTTATACTAAGCTATCAATACTTTACTAAAAAACGCACTTTATTAGTTTCCTTGTAGCAGCAAACCTAGGTACTCGTTAAACCTTATGTTATTTAAATATATTTAATTGAAAATAAATTCAGACAAATGGAAATTCACTTAGTCGGCAGGTTTGCTGCGGCGGGTATATTATATTTATTCAATATCAATCTTAAAAAAAATATTGTTAACAACATAATGAATTTGTATAGCCATTAAAAGAGCAAGGATACGGAAACATCCAAAAATGATTGTTGGATGTGAATTTAAATTTGAACCATTGAGCATTTAATTAAATGTACAAGTATAATTACAGTCAAATAGTAAACAAGAGACAAAGCATTTTATTAAAATGAATTTTAAAAACCTACGTTTTCTTTATATTACTCATTACGGTTTAGTTTAAAGTCAGCAAATACAATTTGTTGTTTTATTCATAGAATACTGTTTAAACAAACTAAATCATGGAAAAGTAAAAGGGTTTTGCATTATTCGTTTTGGGTCAGAAACAAGCTATGATTTTTATCAAAATGTTATCATTAATGCTCGGGTCCCCTCGTTCACATTAAAACCCATTATAAAGAAAGTTGGCCAGCATCCCTGGATCCTAAAACTGAAATCTAGAAATAAATAAAACGCTTGGGAGGCAAAGTTACCAATTCGTCTGGATAGTTTAACACCAATAATTGAATGCGTCATTAATCAGTTAAGTAAACTTATTTATGCTTTCAATTAAAATCAGGTGAAATATATTATTTTTATCCAAGCATACATAACCATACATTTTTATACATACGTAAAACTAATCGAGAATAGACATATTTAAGAAAACATATCAGGAATAATTTTTGGTAACTGTAGTAATGTTATAAATTTGGATGGTAATTACATGATGTACAATAAATTTATAAGTTTATATTGTAACTACTTACCTGTGCCAGAGTTGATTTGAAGCTTTTCGATCCATTTTTCACCTTCTCCATGGCAATGGCAGATTGTTAGGTCTAGCAGAGTGACTTGAATACAACCTAAGTTGTGTAAGACTTCTTTCACACCAGGGCACTGACCCGCAAGGCCCTTTAACACTAGCTGCCCGGATCCGGGCGTTTCCAGGCTGAAACTATTTATTTATTTATCATACGGTAAACACCATTTTTACAATCGATAATACATGAGGGCAATACAATAAAATATTTATAAATATATATAAGTCAGATTCAGATTCATCTTGCTGAAAAAAAGATTGCTAACATGAAAAAATGACACCAACAGAATTGTCCAAAAATGCTTTAACAAAAATTGGATCATGCGTATTATAAATCCTAGTTAACAAGCATAAACATTTTTAGAGAAAAATACGATTACCAAAACTAGATAACAATTGATAAATATTTCAATATAATAACAATAACAAGCAAAAATATAAATATATTTGACAGACAAGACAAAAAAAAGAGAAAAAAATGACAACAATTAATAACAGTGACGTAAACTAAGTGAAAAATTTTAACAGTGCAATACAAATTTATCTGAATGTGCAAACAACAAACAAGGTGCAAATTCCGGACAGTGATCTCAGGACAATTTCTCATCAACAAAATAACAATAACAATAACAACTTAAACTATGATATTTTTTATGGCTTTCAGTTTGCAGGTGAACACGTCAACATGTTGGCATGCTTGATTTCCAATTCTGTGGAGCCGTGGAATTGTACTGTGGAAGGCGTAGTTTGTAGAAAAAGAAGCTTTGTTGAAGAGTTGAATGTGCCTGAAGTGTCGAGGAACGTGGAAATTAATTAGGCGAAGTATTTCTGGAGCATCAACTTCGCCGTTCAACAACTTCCAGAGGAAAGACAGGTCTGCAGATTGTCTACGGTCACTCAGTCGAGGAAGGCCCATATCGATGCGAATATCTTCAATCGGCACTGTATAGAATTCATGGCCCAACTTGACGCCAATAGAGCGAAGAAAGCGATTCTGAATTTTTTCTACTCTTGATATGTGGCTGATTTGATGTGGATTCCATATCAAGCTGCCATATTCCAGCACAGGCCTAACCTGAGTCATGTAAAGAGTTCTCAGAGCATTAACATCAAGTCCGTATCTACCACATCTAATGACAAAACCTAGAGCTTTAGAGGCTTTATTGCAGATTGTATTTATGTGCAGGTCTGGGTTTAAATCGTATGACATTAAAACTCCTAGGTCTCGTATGGCACTCTTCCGTGGCAGGATGGCATTATTCATCGTGTAGTAGAAGTCAATACGCTGCTCGGTACGGTGATAAGATACCACTGCAGACTTTGAAAAATTGATATCCATGCTGTTATCCAGGCACCAGTTGTCGATTGAGTGCAAACATTGTTGAAGGGTGGAACAGTCTGCCTGAGATTTTATACACTTGAAAACCTTGATATCGTCAGCAAACAGCAAGCACTGAGAGTCGATACTATCCACAACATCGTTAACAAATATATTGAAAAGAAATGGACCTAGATGAGAACCCTGGGGGACTCCAGAAACCGCAGGGAAAGGGATTGACTTGGCTCCTGCAAACTTGACAGCTAAGGTGCGGTCTTTAAGATATGATTCAAACCATCGCAAAAGGCTTCCGACTATGCCATACCCTTTTAATTTTGCCAAAAGATGGTCGTGGCTGATGCAGTCGAATGCTTTACTAAAGTCAATATAGATACAATCTAGTTGCTCCTTGGATGAATATGCTGTGATTATGTGATGTTGCAAAATAAGAAGATTAGTGTTTGTAGATCTACCCTGCATAAAACCATGCTGAGCCACACTTAACAAGCTCTTGAAGGGAAAACTAATTGCATCAAGAAGGAGACTCTCAAAGATTTTTGCGAGTGCAGGCTGAATCACAATGGGTCTATAGTTTTTTACTTCCTCTTTAGACGCAGACTTGTGTATTGGTACTACGAAGCCCATTTTAAATTCAGCAGGAAATACACCAGATGCTAAGCTGTCATTGTAAAGAACAGTTAGCTGGGGAGCAATGAGTTCGCTACAGTGTTTTAGAACGGATGGAGGTATTTCATCAGGCCCGATTCCTTTGTGAGGATCCAGTGACTTCAGTTTCTTCAAGAC